CTACAATTGGCCAAGGTGCAGAGAATAAGACTGTAAAATGTTCATTCCTAAAGGGAACATACCACACACACACACCTCTGAAGGCTGAAAGTGTCCTGGGCTAGCTGGTTCAACTCAGCTGTTCTGGCTCAAACTCCTCTCCCTGCTGTCTTATTTGACCTGGCCTCCGAATTGCTCTGTTTAATCTTAAACTAATTCCAGCAATCTTTTCTAATTTTCTGGATCCTTCTGTCTTCACGTGTCTAGCTTGTTCTCAGTTCAACCAATCTTTGTATATCTGTCTTGGTAAACTCTCTCTCTCTCTCCTTCCCTCCCTCCCAGATAACCCACTAAACCCAATTAGTGCATGAGTATGGGGCCATCCACTGGGACATGGGAAACTTACCAGAAGAAACATTCTCAAATAGGTAATTCTTCCTTCCACAGCTGTTGACTATCAATGGCTCCTGAGTTTGGGTGTAGCCTGAACAGCACTTCCCCTTTCTATGCCATAATTTTGCCTAGGTTGATCTTATTAGTGGCTAGGGGGATGGCCTAGTGGTTGGGAGCACTTGTTTCTCTTTCAAAGGACTGGGATTCAATTGACAGTACTCTCCTGGAAGCTTACAACCATCTCTAACTCCAGTCCGAGGGATCCACCAACACTCTCTTTTGGCCTCCTTATGAACCAGACACACATGTGCTGCAGACATACATTCAGGCAAAACTCTCATACCCATAAAATTATCTTTTAGCATACATGTATGTACGTATGTATGCTAAAATATTACAACTGGAATTGTACAACTCAAAATATTCTGAGTGGGCAGTCACACATGAAATCTAAGGATCACCAACTAACAATCCTTAAATCTAAGCCATAATAGCTCATTATACCATTCTTTGTATGTTTGAAGCTTTCAATTTTAAGAGTATTTAAAAAAAAATCAAGATAACAAAATTGAAAAATAAATCAATAGAAATGCTAGGCAAGAGTTCAGAAAATTTCTCTGGCCAGGGGGGTGGTGTACACCTTTAATCCCAGCACTCAAAAGGCACAGGCTAGCAGATCTCTGTGTCCAAAGGCAGCCTGGTCTACAGAGTAAGTTCCAAGACAGCCAGGGCTACACAGAGACTCTGTCTCGAAAAACAAACTAACAACCAAAAACAAAACAAAAAGAATTCCTGAATTTAAAATCAAAAGAATTAAAATGACACATGGAAGCAGCAGGCCCTCTAGGAGGCCGTGGTTTATAAGAGTCCCAGAGAGAGAGAGAGAGATGTGGCAAATGGATGGCAGCTCTCCAACCATCTTGTGTACATAAGAATGCCTTTGCACTGATGATGGTGGGAACATACATTCAGTTACTTAAGGGCATCCTTTGGTTATTTTACTGAAGTGAAAATTCCCACAATCTAGGACTGAAATTTTCTTAAAATGTCCCAGAAAAGTGTTCATACATGAGCAATTAGTATTTGCTTATGTTTTTAAATGGCTAACTACTTACATTCTTATTGCATTTTTATTGTTTCTATGTGTGGAGGCTGGAGGATAAGTTTGGTCTTCTTCCACCTTGTAGATCCTAGGATTAAACTCGGGTTGTCAGGACTGGTAACAAGTTGCCTTTACCCACTCTAAGCTACCTTTACGGTCCTATAGCTCTAAGATCTGGGTGTACACATACATCTACAGTGCAAACAAAATTCAGAAATTTGACTTCTAGGAATACTTTCTTTACACATTCAAGTGGGAAGACACTATTAAAAACATTTTAATTGAATTGTGCTTTGAGTAGCAAATACCTTGAAAATATAAAAAATACTGTTAAGAGAAATGAGGTTAAAATAAAGGTATAGTCATACAACATATTCATAGAAAAATGTGGCACATGTACATTTACACATATGGAAATATGCTGCAGATATGCAACCAACAGCAAAAAGACTACACACACACACACACAGGGGATATTCAGCCTGGGGTGGTGGGATGGGGGAAGAAATTCTCAAATTTGTGGCAAAATGGATGGAACTGGAGGACAAAGTAATATAGCAGGCACAGAATAAAACTGCATATTCTCTCATGTGTGGAAGCTAGAAAGAGTAGAAAGTAGAGGTTACCAGAGGCTAGGAAGGAAAAGGAGAATGGAAAAAATAAAAAAATGTTGGATAACCAGTACCAGAATAGTGATGCCGGAGTAAATTCCAGTGGACAATAGGTGACTTACTTTCAGGATAAATCCTATTTTACAAAGCGGCATGAGTAATCCAAATATTGGCAGCACATAGTACTTGAAAGTGGATGCAATTTCAAACTACCCTGATTTCATCATTACATGCTGTCTACACAGTCACACTGCATGCTGTTTGTACAAGTCAAACACCTTGCACATGGAAGGCCTGAGTTTGATTTCTGAAAACAAAAATGAAAATTTCCATAGATTGATGATAAAAATTAAATAATTTACAATTTCAGTAACATAATTTTGGAATCGGGGTGTATGTTAATGAAAATGGTAACTACAAAGCATGAAGTGAAAATAAACTGTAAACAAAATATTTGATTTTATGTGTTCTGAAAATAAAATATACTAGTCTTAGGATGAAAATAAAAGGTTCATTTTGCTTCATTTCAAAAGATTAAACTGACTTGTGCAATTTCTCCAGATAGACCTGGCCCAATGCTTTTCCAATGGGGATGTTCCTTAGAAACCTCTTAACTGAGCCTGGCGCAGTGGTGCATGCCTGTAATCCAGCACTCTGGGGGCAGGGGCAGGTCTTTAAGTTCAAGTCCAGCCTGGTCTACAAAGCAAGTCCAAAACAGCCAAGGCAAAAAATAAAATTAAAACTTCCTTAAAGAATCCTTGCAAGTAACTAATACCACAGGCTAGCAAGTCCTCCTGAAATCCATGCCCATAGTAAGCAAATTTTGGCTTCACTGAAAAGTGCCTCAGACAGAATTAAAATACCCCTATATGCCCTGGAGGCAGATACTATTAGTATCTCAACTTACAGAATTTAGTCTGAAGGAAGTCTTGTAACTTGATTTAGCCTTCCCATCCAAGGACCTAAATTTGGAATTTGACTCCGAAGCCAGTTTTCCACTCAACATCCTTTTGCCTGTTTTATTTTACACCCACAAACCATACACATAAGGCCCTAGGGATGTCAGGTGCAGAAACCTAAGACTGCAATGAAGTGGCTTCAGCTTCCTTGGTAATTGCTAGGTCACATTTCTGAAACAGCAGTGCTGTCAATCAGATAGTAATTTCAAAATTTTAACTCCTTCATACAAGGTTCACAGCTATTAACTGGTTAAGGCTGTCTTTTCTTAAGATTCTCAAGGCACTAAATGTAGTTTTCTAAGTATTTTTGAAATCTTCATATACAGTCCTGGCTGGTGGAAACTACTTAGAGAAGGCTGGGCTTCCTGGTTAGAGACCCACCTACCTCTGCTGGGATCAAAAGTCTGCATTCCCAATTTGTGCAACTTAACTTTTAAAGCATTTGTTTTAATCCATGCTATTTACTAATTGAAAACAATTTGCTGGTGAAGAAGCAGCTTCACCCACCAACAAAAAAGAAAAAAAAACAAAACATCCTTTTGCCCTAAATGGTTTCCAGGGAATCAAAAATTTCAGTCGATTCTCAGGATGTTGAGTAAGATGCAAAGCTGTTTAGGGGGCCTCAGTGGTGTCTTGCACAAAGCCTTGGGTTAATACAACTGGGAAGCGGGAATTACCTTCTTCAAATTAACCTGTTGGGCAATAGGATTAACTGATTTACAGGATGCTCCAGCCCACACTATGCGGAGGTACCATTACCAAGCAAGTGGGTTTAGGCTGCATTTAGGTAGTTTGAAGGTAGCAAGATAGTCAATCTAATAACCTGAGGACAGTATAGTGCTGAAGCAAAAGCCTAGGCCCATCTACAAAGGCATGCAAAAGGGGAGGTACAATTTGTGTAAATTCACAATTCACCCCAGCCCTCCAGGCAAGCAGATCTGAGTTTGAGGTCAGCCAGGGCTAGAGAAATCCTGTCAACAACAAAAAATCACAACTTGTAAAATATATGTTCACCAAGTACCTCTATAAACTGTTCCAACAAAAAGGCTACCCACTGGATAAAGTATCTTAATAGCACACAAACCTTAACAGATGTCTTAAAAGACCAGCCTTAATAAAGTGGGACACTAGTCAAGTTCAACTCCTAAATTCGGCTTACAGTAATACCTACATAACCCAAGACCTGTGAAGTGCACCTGCATTTAGCATAGCATACTATTGGATGTTATCTTTCACATGACCAAAGGCTTTAAGTTTTAGATAGGGTTAGAGATGGTTCAGTGGGTCAAAGTGGTTTATACAGGCTTGAGTTCAAGTCACCAGAAGCAAGTTGAGTATGATTATGCACTCACCCAACAAAATGAGCGTTCCAAGTACTTTGAAGATCATCTCAATAGAATGGTAATTTGGGCCTAATTTTCCTTAGCACACAGACAAGTCTTTGGACACATATTAGTAACAGAAGACTCGCCTATAGTTGAGTAGCTGCAGACCCCATTTCAAATAACCCAGACTACCAAAGCATGGTAGTCCAGGTCTTTACTTTCACTACTCTGGAAGCAGACAAAACAGACGGATCTTTTGAGTTAAGGCCAGCCTGCAAGGTCTACATTCAGACCCTGTCCCAAAATAAGACAAAGAGAAACCCCAACTTCAGCCTTTAAATTGGCTTAGTACATTCCAAGAAACTTTTTCACTTGGCCAATTTATTTGTACACCTTATTTCTGAAAGCAGTTTTATAGGGCTGAAATGCCTGCTCAGCCATTAAAAGAACTTATTCTCTTCCTGAGGACCCTATACCTACATGGTGGCTCCAACAGTCCAAGCAACTGACACCCTCTTCTACCCAACCTCTGCTGGCACCAGGTACATTTGTGGTGCACACATAAACACACTCATAAGCACCAAGTGAAGATGAAATTTTTTTGGGAAAAAAAAAAAAAAACTCAACGAAATTTTACTGGTTAAGTCAATTTATTATCATAGATGGCTCAGGCATCTGCAATGGTGACTTCAACCTCCACTCCTGGCTCGATACTGATGGAAGTAATCTGCTTAACAATCTCCGAAGGACTGTGCAAGTCAATGAGTCGCTTGTGAATTCTCATTTGGAAACGATCCCATGTCTTGGAACCTTCACCACAAGGCGTCTTTCTTGTAGTGATTCTCAGTGTCTGCCAAGAAAACAAAAGAAAACTGCATGCATGCATTTCTTCTGAACCATTTCCCCCTGAACACTGACAATCTTCAGGTTCCAGCAACTTTCACAAGATAGTGGGACCCCTTTGAGCTTAACAAGCTATCTCTCTCCTACCCAGTCACCACTATAAATCCGACCTGATATAGTCTAAATTGTACTAGCAATTTAATTCCCGTTTGTAATTTTAATTTAAGGATTCCCGTGGCAACCTAACCCCAAAGCACCAGGACCACCACCAGAAAGCTGTCACTTACCTTAGTAGGCATACGCACCGGTCCTTTCACTTTTAGATTCTTTTCTTTTGCGCCTCTGATCAAGTCGGCACACACTGCAGGTTAAGGAAACAGCCCTTCAGTTAACTCAAAAAAGACTGAAATCGCCGTAAGCAAGTTACCCGATCGGCTCAGAATAGCGTATAAGGATTATCACCCTAGTTCAACACAGTAGGAATCTCCTCATCGCCGACCGCGGCGCGGCTACGGTTTACAAGACACAACGGAAAACACCCGAAACCACCGTACTGACCCTTCTCCAGCGACTTCACGTTGCGGCTGGTGAGCGTGATCCGAATCCGGTGAATGGCCACCTCGGGTTCCACCGGCGTCTTTCCGGTATCTTTAAAAGCCTGTTACCACACAGGCGGAAAAACAAACAGCGAACCGTCAATGGCGGCCCACTCAACACAGACGCCATCGGGACCCTCTCCTGGGCCCGCGCCGCGGCGGCCGCCCTCTCCCGGGGTCCGCGCTCGCGGCGCCCGGGAACGAGCCCCGCCGGCGCCCCAGGCCACGTGTCGCCGTCCCCCGCCTCACCATGGCTGCGGCGTGGCTTCCTGACCGACTTGTTCCTCAGCAGGAGCGAACAGCGGTGAGTCAGGACCGGAGCAGACTGAAAACAGCTCCGTGACAAACACGACCACGTCTCAGAGAGGAGGACAGGAAGCGCGACAGGCGCTTATATAGTACGTTCGCATCCGGGTACTTCGTGCCCCGGAACAGGAACTGCCGGCCCACGGAGAGACGGCCGGCGGGGAGGCCGGGTTGCGGGGCCGCAGAGTTGGCGGGAAAGGGCGAGAACGCGCGCGCCCCCTCTCGGCTCGGCGGAGTCACTGCCCTGACCTGGAGCACCGAAGAGGCTGGAACTGTTGACGCCTGTCAGGTGCTGTGTTGCAGAGTGCAGATCCGTTTGGTCTTTACAGGACGAACTATGCTTCCCATACATACCCAGTTAACTTGCTTTTGTCTGACAAGAGAACAACTTTTTTTGAGTTTAACTGGCACAGGCCTTGGGGAAGAGCGACCTGGTGTGTGTGTTTATTTGCTTGGTGCTGGAGGTAGAATCCAGGGCTCAGCAGGAAAAAAACACGCAGACCATAAACCTCGCATCCTAAGTTCGAGTCAGTGAATCCTCGATGGAAGGAAAGAATGGATTCCGCAAAGCTATCTTCTGGCTTGCAAACGAGAGCCTCCTCCTCCCCCCATAACTAAATTATATTTTAAAAAATTACTCGGAAACTGTTTTTCAAAGCTGAAATGCCTTTTTGTGATATTTCAGCTTTTAGCTTTTTATAATAGTGGAAACAAACGTCTCTATCTGCTGGAAAAGACCCGAGCTTAGCTTTTATTCCTAGTTGGGGTGTTTTTTGTGTTTTTTTTGTTTTGTTTTGTTTTGTTTCTTGAGTTCTGGGTATTGAACCTATGGCCTTATTCATGCTAGGTGAGCACTGTACCACTGAACTATATTCCATACTAGCTTCTACTCTTTCAGTTAAGTGAAGTGCTCTGTCAGGTCACAGCGCGTTGTACCTGGCCTGGAACCCATCTACCCAGTTTTAACACACTCTGTCCTCTAGGTTGCAATGGAGCAGTGTGTATTGGCTACGACCTCCGAGGACGCCATAGATCGGAGCATTTGTTCATAATACAGCCCGTGACCAAGTACAGCGGAAGGAAAGCCAGGCAGGGTCAAATGCCCTCAGAAGCAAAGTCGGTGCAGGTTAATCTAGTCCTCCAAACTCCCTACTGTTCAAGGCTAAGGGCGTGGTCCAATAGAATGCAAGCAGGGTGCTGAGAGCAAGACAACACAGGACGAAGGAGCATTATTTTGCAGGTGAAAGTGATTTGCTCCGACCTGCCAAACTGGGGCTGAACACTGATCCCCTCCAATCCGTACTCCTCTGAAAGGTATTTTCTTCTGATCTTTCGGAGAGAACTATTCACGAAACTTCAAGTATTAGCACCCACTCACTTGCTTGGTGATAATCTGAGCTAGTTAGTAACTGGCTTGCTGACCCACCAATGTACCTGAAGTTTTGCTATCATTGAACAATTAAGGTGAGTATTACAATAAGGAGATTTAAAAAAAATCAATTATTTTTAAATATAATCCACTGACTTCTTTAAAGTCTGAATTTTATTTGTTTTTTCCTCCTTCCTTCCTTTCTCTCTCTCTCTGTTTCTTTCTCTCTCGGTTTCTTTCTTTCTTGACACAGGATTTCTTTGTGTAGCCCTGGCTGCCCTGGAACTCACTATGTAAACCAAGTTAGCCTCAAACCTGGAGATCAACCTGCCTCTGCCTCCAGAGTGCTGGGAATAAAGGCCTGCACCACCACCATCCAGCTTATTTTGCTATTTTGAGACAAGGTTTACTAAGTAGTCTTGACTGTCCTGGAATTTACAGAGCTCTACCTGCCTCTGCCTCCTGAGTGTTGCATGGGATTAAGGGCACTGGTTACCACCCAGCTAAAACCTGCATTTTTATTTTAGTAGCTATGACCTTAATGAAACCTTAAACCTGTTTAATGTATTAACAGGGTCATCTGTAACAAAATAGACAAATGCCGTAATAGCCCATCTTTCTGATATGTGATTTGTATTAATATCAAGAATAACTGTGGCTACTTGCACACAAGGGGCATACACTAACAGACACATGTCCACAATTAAAACGAAATATTTTAAAAATCAGTATCTCAAAGAGATACCTTCCTATGTTCATTGTAGTGTTTTTTTACAATAATCAAGGTATGGAAACAACCCAAGTATCTATCAACAGATGAGTGAGTAAATAAAAAGCCACAGAGATCCAATGAAATATCAACTGCCCTCCAAATTTTTTTTTTTAAAAAGGAAATTCTGATGTATATCATTGAGGCTGTTGGCACTGTATTAAGTAGAGTCAGGAAGACAAATAGTGTGTGCCCTCAATGATCTGTGGCATCTAAGGACCAATTCATAAGGGCTTGGAGGGGAAGGGCGTTTCCTAGGGATGGAGTGAGACAGCAAGGTCTGGAGAGATAGATGGTCATTGTTTTAAATTTTATTGTCTTCTCATTTCAAACTTCTTGCCGTGTTTTTTTTCTCTTGAAAATTAGCAGTTATGGTGTCCTCCAAATTTCCACATAAAAGGTGGAAATTTTCTATGTTGGTATGTTAATGTAGTCATTGAAGGAAAAGTAGAAAATGCTGAAGGAAAACACACATTCTTACCATTCCAAGACAAGCAATTTATACTTTTAGGTATGTTATATCTTTAAAAAAACATGGCCTATATTCTGTGGACAATATGATTCAAAGAATGTTTAATTATAAGAAGTATATTTCTGTTTCGTTCTTTTTATTTTTTAATTAAATATATTATTGTTATAATAATTTGTGTGTGTGTGTAAGAGAGAGAAAGAGAAAGAGAGAGAGAACAATTGGTTCTCTCATTCCACCTTTATTTTTGGTTGTGAGCCCAGCCTTTAATGGCTGAGCCACTTCTCCAGCTCTCATTTCATTATTTACATAGCTTTCATGGATCAAACTTGGTTAATCCAGCTTGCACCGTCCAGCAGCAAGCACTTTTACCTGTGGAGCTATATTTGCCAGGCCTGTTTCATCTCTCTTAATGACAGTTGTGACTGGAGTCTTTAAGGAAGCCACTTCTGTACTGAAGACTGACTGCCTGACCCTAATTTCACTACAGCATGGGTTAGTTAGTACAGAAATGCAAGGCTACAAATGGAGAGCCAGCATTCTCTTGGGCTCACTTTAGCTCCTCTTCTGGCTATTTATGTCCATCCCTGTCTCTCCTAGCAGTTTTGGTGACTATTGGTTAAAACCTTTGTACTGTGTTATTTGTCTGACTGCTGACTTTTACCACTGCTAACTCTGAAAGTTATAAGACAGCCTCGGAAGCCTACAGAGGAGACGTCCCCACCTTGTTGGACTTGACCAGTTCATTTCCCCAGCCACATGTTTGGTTAATACTGCTTTAGGGCTTTTTTTCTTTTGTTCTGTGATTCTTAAACAACATGTGATCTCTCTAAAGTGGGACATGTCATTCAAAGTGACCTGAGTCTGTGTTCCTGGGCACTGATCACTGACGTGCGGCTTGGCCCTCTCAAATTCCCTTTGCAGCAAAGTTGTGTTTTGCATGAACACTACATTTCATGAATTGTGTGGAGGATTCTTTCATAGTTTTTAGACATAGGCTTGCTCTCCAGTTTGTTTTACTGTCATGAACAATCCCAGTAGGTGTAGGGTTGTCTATCAGGCTTTTAATCTCTGTAGTTATGCATGAGGCTGGGTGGGAGGCTGTTTGTATATTGCAAGTTATTTAGTCACATCTTCGGTCTTTACCTCCTGTCCTCATCCCCTCCAGCTGTGACATCAAACACAGGCCCAGACACTGCCCAGTGTTCTCTGTGGTGCATAGTCAGGACCTTTCCTCACCACCATAGAGAGCACTATTACCCATAAGTCATTGTCTCATGCTTAACACTTTAGATCGATTTGCTATTACTAACTTACTTTCTGAGAAGGTTGTATCTAAACACAGACTTTCTTAAACAATAAAAAATGTAAGTGATAATCAGAAACTGGAAACAACCTCATTGTCCCATAACTGAAGAATGGATACAGAAATTGTGGTGTATAATTCCATTTACACAATGGAATACTACTCAGCTATTAAGGAGATCATGAAATTTGCAGGCAAATGGATGGAACTAGAAAAGAGCATCCTGAGTGAGGTAAGACGCATGCAGAAAGATGCACATGGTATGTACTCACTTATAAGCAGATATTAGACCTATAGTACGGGTAACCATACTACAATCCACAGACCCTAAGAAGCTATGGAACAAGGAGGGCCCAAGGGAGGGTGCTGGAATGTCACTCAGAAGGGAAAATAGAATAGACAGCAGACGTGAATGAAGAGAGGGAACTGGGTAGGAGATGGAATGGGGAGGGACCCAAGAGTGGGGATGAGATGTGGAGAATGGGAGTGGGAGATGAGAGGGGGGCATCTCTTTGTCGTGCCTACCACATCCTGGGAGGACATGGGTGTGATTCTAGCTGATACTCCCAGTGGGGACAGGGGAGACAAGAACACTGAAGTGACCACCTCCTCGAAAGGCAGGAGGGGAACAACAAACCACTGACAAATACCCTGCCCATAAGAAGTTCAGGGATAAAGAGGAAACAAAGATTTAGGGAATATCCAACCAATAGTTGCCCCAATCTGAGACCCAGCTCATGGTAGATAGCCAGCCCCTGACACTATTAATGATGCTATGCCATGCTTGCAGACAGGAGCCTAACTTGACTGTCCTCTGGGAGGCTCCAGCCAGCAACGAATCAAGACAGATGCTGCAACTTGCAGCCAAACATGGGGCAGAGCTTGGGGGGAGGGGCTGTGGAACTGTTGGGGGAAAGATGAAAAGACATGGAGGGGTCAGGGACCTCACAAGAAGACCAACAGAGACAACTAACCCAGTCCAATGGGGGCTTTCAGAGACTGAGACATCAATTAAGGAGCCTGTGCGATCTGGATCTAGGCCCCCTACACATATGTAGCCAAAGGGTGACTTGGTCTTCATGTGGGGTAGAGGAGGCACTGCTTTCAGCATGAACTCTATTGCCTGCTTTTGGATCACTTCCCCCTGGCTGGGTTGA